TATATATATATATATATATATATATATTTTTTTTTTTATCTTTTGAAAATATCAAAGTTATTAATGCAGAACAGATTCTGTCCAACCATCAATGAAAGGGTAAAATTATTATATACACAGGTGTGTAATGTATTTCTTAGTTTCGACTAATGTTGACTTTTCTTTGAAACCAGTGGACCTCAAATGTGTCCTACTCAGCAAGGTGCAGAGTTGAGAGAAGACATTTTGGCTGTGGTTAAGTTTTGGCAACATCTTCATACTGATAAGAAATACCTCAAAGCTAACATGATGACAGGTTTGTTCATATTTCCGTAATTGTTATTTCAGACAATTCAATAGTGTTTTACAATGTAGAGAACTTGGATTGTATCTATAACTAAACAGTTACTCAAGCACTTTGTATCCAAATGAGGGAAAGTAATAATCGTTTATTAGATAAACCACTACCTAGCTAAAGTAAAAACTCTGTAGTTTTTAATATTATTCAAGTAGCATAGATTTAATGTCAAATATCATAAGAAGAAAAATTACATCAATTTATTTTTTAAAGTAAAACTTTCAGTAGTTATAACTTTATTTTACAGAGTTTGAAACCCATTAGAGAATAAATGAGAATAAAACCAGAAAGTCTTTTTCAGTTAATATTATATTATTGTTTCATTTTTACAGTGATAGTGTGATAGCTGTTAACTTTTTTTAAAAGTTAGCCGAGTAATACTGTAACTAAATGTTCAGTATCTTTAATATTAAAGAAGAGACATCCACTGTAATAATATAGTACTTGAGATTAATCATTGTTGAACATATATTTATATATATTAGTCCTAAAGTAAGTTAAACAAAGTTAAATTAATTTCAAACGTTTTAATTAGAATTAAATAGTTTGATTATTTATAATCACATTTGGAAAAACTTGTAGCAGTGGTATACAGGATGCCTATTTTAAAAAGTTTTTAAAAGATCATTACTTATACAATCGTACCATGTACGTTTTCATTTATTTTAAACACTAGAAATACAAAAAACATCTTTCTCATGAGAACCCTAAATTCTAAACAATGAAAAGTCAATTCTGTAACAAATCTATGTTATAACATCTACAGGCGTCTTAAACAATACTAACTGTGATGAAATAAATATCTAAAGTCTAGACACATTCTTAGAGTATCTAATAAAAAAAAAACTTTAACATTTGCCATTTAATTGACGTTTATATTATTGTATTAGCTTAGAAATAATCATTTATTGGCTGGAAATCTTCAAAAAATCATCTATGGTAATTAATATCCCAATCTAATAAAAACAGTGCTATCTAATGTTTCTTGTTGTTACTATATTGAATAATAAGGATGTCTTGCTGTTAATATTACATTAAATAATACAGTTATTCTGAAAGTCCCCACCATACCACTAGATCCTTCCTGTTCATACAACATGAAAGAATACAGTTATTAATTCCTGAAAATATTAAGGGGGTAAAGCCCCCCCCCCTCCTCTACAACACTAAAAGATACAATTACCCAATTATGGATTAGAAACATAACACAATGGAAATTAAAGCTGTAAATTTACACTTTATTTAACACTTAAATAGCCAGAGAGTCAATAGTGAGTGTTGCTAGCCAGTTGCCTTCTTTAACAAAATTAGTAACAGTGGCAGATAGTCATAGTAGCTTTGCAATAACAAAGACAGGGCAAGCAAATTTAGTGGCAAAGAAAATCAAACCCAAGACAGTCAAATTACGAGACCTCCCCCCAATTAAGTAGCTTTATGCTTAACAACAAACAAGTAAAATGGTAATATTTGAATTACTTGGACAGTTGCTATAACTGAAAAGAGTAAATAATTTGGATTAGTTTATCATTTTTATAACATTAATCAGTTAATCATGATTTTGATTAACTGATTAGTTTATGAGACATTAATCGATGTAATCACTGCTAATAGATAATTAATTAAACTGCTCAACTCTGGTCAGGGTAGTATCTTTTTCTGTGTAATTTAGCTCTTTCATCATTCATGCTATTTTATACGTAAATCCAGTTTTTTGTTTTTTTACATAGCAAAAAGAATTTTTTTTTTTTACATATATATATAGACATGTGGGATACTGCAACTAGCAACAGTCTAGTTTTAGGCCTAAGTTCTGAGCTCAGAGGCAGCATGGAACTTTCCCAGAGTCGAGGAGCTCCCACAGGATGGATTAACACAGTTCCACTCAGCAGCAACATGTCTACTATCTCTCGTCGTTCTTCTGGTGGTCGAGGATCTAATCGTCGTGATTTGAATGCAGAGGTCTTTGTCAAAGACTATATGAGAAAACGAAATCTAATACTTGGATTGTTAGTGAGTGACCTTGGGGATCAGCTGTAAAAATTAAATTCTACATTGTATAAAGTAGCTTTTGTCATATATTATAATAATATATTTTCAAAACTTTTCTATTTATGTTGTAATGAATGATACAACCACATCCTGAAAGATGTAACTATGATTTTACCTTAGGTAACGTTTTTTTAATGTTATTTTGTTTTATTTTATCACTTGGGTTGAATAATAATGTTACTCATCTTTTTATTTTTTCTACATAATATATGTATACTTACACAAAATAAAATTCATTAATAACCTAGATGAAGAAAATAGTTTGAGCATATTAAATGTTTTTTTATGTCTGTCTGATGTACATCTTATTCCAGGCAGCAGAAATAGAATTTCTGATCACGTGGCATAACCCAATGGCCTTGCCTGAAAAACATGTGCCTTCTGAGGAAACCATTGCTGCATGGCATAGCCAACCTGTTACAGAGCGAATGTGGAGAGACACGGCACGCTTGGCCTGGGATATTTCTCCTTCCTTGGCTGTATATATTCCTTGTCGGTAAGAATTTATTAGTCTTGGTATTTATTTACCCAACATGAGATAATGTGGGAAAAGATTTGGAAAGTCTGATAAAAGATGCTTTGCAAAGCCATTTAAAAAAATTTATAATTTTATTGAATAGTCATCATGGTTTCACTAAGGGAAAATATTACCGTATAAATCTTTTGACATTCTTTGAAAAGGTTACTGCTTATGTAGATGAGGGTAAGGGCGTAGATTCGGTGTATCTGGATTTTTAGAAAGCACTTGACAAGGTACCACATAAAAGGTTTGTACAAAACATTAGCTCTATAGGTGTGGGGGATAAGTTAGCAAATTGGATAGAAGAGTGGTTGGATGGAAGAAAGCAGAGGGTTGTTACAAATGGAGTTCAGTCAAACTGGATTAATATCACAAGTGGGATACCTCAGGGCTCAGTCTTAGGACCTTTGCTCTTTTTGATTTACATCAATGACATAGATAAAGAGATAGTCAATAAATTACTTAAATTTGTAGATGATATTAAGGTCTAGGGTGTTGCTAGCT